ACTTATAGCAAAGATGAGGGTTTGCTAATGATGATGGTGATGATATTATTGGTGGTAGTTATATAACTTTAAAAATTGCTTATAGTTTGCCAAGCAGCAAGCATATCACTTCTATTAATTTTTTTTAGTCTTTAAAATAATCTTATGAGCTATGATAATAGTCTCAATTTACATTTAGGAAACCCATAGTTCAGAATTGAAGTAACTTGCTACAGCCACTGAGCAGTAGACTGAGATTTGATCCCAGGCTCTCTGGCTCCAGACTCTGCAATGGGAAACATTCACTTATATCCCAGCACTGGATGTTAGTCGTATGTCCTGAGAAGACCCTAATCTCCAAACCACAGGCCAGAACCATCATCCTCCCTGGATGATTATTCACAAAGGGCATTGAGAAATCTTTTGTTTCAGGTTATTAGACTTTTTTTTAAGTTATAATAATCATTCTTTTAACATGGGGAAAATATGACTTGTTATATTGTCACTGTGAAACCAAAATTTGGACAATTTCATTATTCCATAAGGGTATGAATAGAATTACAACAGAGAGAAAATGGAATTTTTGTATAATTCCTATTTTCTATGAGAAAGGGAGAGAGAGAGAGAGGGAGAGAAAACCAGGAACGTCTCAGTGCCGCATTTATAAAGGGAAGTTGTAGCCAGAGGTCATTGATTTCAGTTTTCTTGGGTACAAAATGAGAAATGGGTCATGGAGACCTTAGGGGAACTTTACCCACCTAAGGTTCACAGAGCTCGACCACAGATGGACTGTTCTTTGTCTCTACCTCTTAAGATTCTTGTGCTGGTCCCAGGAATTCAGGAGGGCTGGAAAAACCTTTACTTTTTGAACAAAAGGGCAAAACAACTCACCAGCAAACAAATAATCCACTGAATATTATATCATTAGTTAGTTTTATGCCAGTAGTAATACAAGAGTTTGTTTCAAAATTTTCTTAAAGTCTATTGAAGTTCTGAATCATGACTATTTTTGACTTATAAGCATGGTCTATTAACGAACTGAAGTCTTGATAAAGGGGAAAAAAGATCCCCTGATACCAGTGCCCTGAGCACAGTTTCCTGAAACATCTCCAACAGTCTCTGGATGGTTGAGGAAATGTTCTGCCTTCTCTAGTCTTGTCTTGCTGCTTGTCCTCATGGTGACTGACACCCTTTGATCAAAGAGGCTATTATGTTATTCACAGTGCTTAAGACTTAAGATCTGAGCACTGGTGAACTTGGGAAAATGTAGTGCTTCATAAGTAGCATTAGCCAAGTGACCTTGGCCACAAAACATAGGGTTGTGTTCTTTTCTTAATGTGCAATGTGGTTAGAATTTTAGGAGGGGTCCATTTAAAACTTTGGGAAACTTTGTGGTGTTTAATATATGGTTCAGTCCTTGTTTTTAATAAATATAATCTTTGATGATCAATTTCATTGTTCTACGTACAAATGATTCAATGAAGGAAAGCTGTGACTGCCTCCCCCTTCTCAGACATGCATAACTTGACCCAGTACTTACTTAAAAACTGTCCACCTATCTCCTCTGCCTTATCTGATTCAGAGGGTACAGAGTAGAACCTCACTTGAGCTGTTTATAAAAGACTAGATTTGGTGGGGGTTTCCATGTTAAAAATTGAACACCAGAATTCTAAAATCTATGGTGTTGTGCTATTTATAAAAAAAATAATAGTCTAGGGGAAAATGTCAATGGATTTTAATTGAAACTTTAGTGAGAGACTTCTGGCCACTCCTTTCAAGGAGATACTTCGCTGAAAACATCCTCTGTTTGTGACCTGGAGATAAAATGTGAGGGATTAGTGTATTTTTGTTTGGTCATATAGTTTGTGATTATATCCCCCCATACAGCAGCCTGTTCTTTAGTTGCAAGATGATTTAAAAATCAACTCAAAAGCAAAGGGACAGTTTTCTACATCGGGGCGCTGCCAGAGGGATGTTTTTGTTCTGGGAACAAAAACACTCATTACGCTGTGTGTGATGAGAAAATGTTTCTTATTAGAAATTTCTTCATGATTGAATCCAGATAGAACCCATCCGAGCAAATGGCTTTTGCTCCAACAACTGAACAGAAGATGCTAACTTGGACAAGGCACTTGCTTTCCTAATTCAGTCGACAGCCCAAGAGACGTTATTGTTTTTACTTAAGAGAGGGAGGGTGGGAGGAGGCCTGGATGGACCAGCAAAGGTTGAAATGGGAGAGTGCAGCCAGGTCAGGATTGTGTCCTTGTGCCTGAAACTGCTGTCACTCAGTGACTTAATTCTCAGGGTGAAACGACCCTAGGAACTAAAAGGCTGGAACATTTCTTTCCCCTGTGGAATAATCCAGCTTAAGAACCCTGAGTGTGTAACCCTGTGAAGCTTTCTGACAGCTTGCCTCCCTCAAGGGGAAAACCAAATCGGATTTAGTCCTTGTTCTCTTTTTGCAAATAAATTTCTTCTTGGTAAATAGAGTTGCAGGACCACAAGCTAACTTGTAAAAGGAGGAACCCGGCAGCAGTGTCTCTTCCTGTGTGGGTCTCTGTGTATCCATATATCTCTCTCTGCTTCTCTCTCTCCTTCTCTGATAGAACTTTTTATTTTTTCTCTAAGAGAACTTATGTGAGCATTTATATACATATTATGTGCCAGGTACTGTTTTAAGCTCTGGTGATATAATAGCAAATAAAGCAGATCAGGTCACTATCCTGAGGAGTGAGCTTTCTAGAACTCTCTAACGTTCGAACCTTGACTCTTCTCCATTGCTAACTTTGTAACTTCGGGGCAAGCTACTCCGTTTCTCTGTGCCTTGTTTTCCTTATCAAATATCAGTACTTACCTCAGTTACCCTTTAAAGGAATAAAATGAGAGAACCCATGTAAAGCATTTAGAAACAGCATGTGAGACTCAGGTGAGCACACCGTGCCTGCAGCTATTTCCACTGATGCTGTTTGCAATTTCAGCACTTTCTTTTTCCCTACTGTGCTCATTGCCTCATCATTTGCCTGGTGCCCTGAGAGACCACTTTCCTTTGTTCCTCATTTTCAGGAACAGGGATCAGCCCAGGGAGCAGCAGTTGAGAGCAGCACATGCCTGTGTTCTAGAAGTGCATTATTAAAGCACACCTTCATGCTGTCAACTCAGGGTCCTGCCAGGCAAAAGGGGATCCAGCACCCTGCACATTCACAGAAGCACATGAGAAAAAAAAAAAATCAAAATGAACGCAAAGGATGCTTTGTAAAGACATAGATCTTTGCACAGTGGAAAAGTCAGGTCTATCGCTTTGCAAAGGGCAGACCAGCCTCTTCCTAATGTCAAATTGAAGGACGTAGAATCTCTTCTGTGTTAGAAGTTCATTTCCTGGAACTTTAAAACTCTTTGATATTAATGGATGAGGTAAAACATTTCAGATATTTTTTTCAGACATACTATGTTCTACTTTGGTACCATCCATTTGTACTGTGTACCTGTAAAGTGACTTTCCTACTTTCTGACAAGACCCACAATTAATCACTAGCTTGGGGTAATTTGTGTCTCTTTATGCCTTTGATTCTAGGAAAATACTTTCAGAAGCCTGGAAAGCCATATATTTATTATAATTTGTCCTTAAGATACTAGTGTTCAGGGATGAAACAATCACCAAGATTTATACATTTATTAAGTCAATGACATCATTTTAAAATGAAAAAGTGTTTAAAATATTTTTCTTAACATACAGGAAAAATAAAAATAATCCTACCTTTTACATTACTCTACTTTTTGATAAAACCTTAGGTATAGTTTATTATTATTATTATTTTTTTTGGCAACGGGAATTGAACTCGGGGACGCTCAGCCACTGAGCCACATCCCGAGCCCTATTTTGTATTTCATTTAGAGGCAGGGTCTCTCTAAGTTGCTTAGCACTTTGCTTTTGCTGAAGTTGGCTTTGAACTCATAATTCTCCTGCCTTAGCCTCCCAAGCTTCTGGGATTGCAGGTGTGTGCCACTGTGCCTGCTAGTTTATTCTTAATACAAACCTGCCTTCTGATTTATTACTCTTGTAAGAGTTTATTTTAGCTCTGATCGTTGTTTTCCTTTTTCTCACAAGCACATCCATCTCTGCCAGTGTTTCTTAAAAGAAGATCCCAACCCCTTCTCTGATAGGAACCATGTATGTGATTGTAAGCGGATCACTGAGTTCCAAAGGTCTTGTTCTCTTCACACATAAAATGAAGGGCTAAACTTCATGATCTTTATAAACCTGGCAGATCTATTCAAATTCATACTTTCCCTGTGGGAATTATAGTATCTGAGATTTGATAATAAAATTAGTAAGGCTTACTCCATAAGCAAGTGCAAAAAACCAATTTCGTTATTCTGCGTAAGTAATTTAAAATACCTGAACGAGGAAATGTACTTGACTTTAAAACTAAACCCCCTGTAATTTAACTCTGCTTTGGTACCTCATAAGCGGGCTACTGGAAAACATCAGGCATGGCTGGGGACATTGTATTGTAGATGCAGTATTATACCATAGTCCCTTGGCATTTTTGCTGTTGTTGTTATGGTTTTAAATTCTCCATCTAAATGCCAACATCGACACCTATTTTTGTCATCTGCTTCTATCTCATTAAGTATAGAACAAAAAGAACAAAACAATGATATTCAAGGAGTCTGGTTCTGAGAATTTCAGATTAAGGAGTCTTTCTTTTGTAGGTTCAATAAATGAGTGATTATTTCACAGGTGGCTAGATTGTATTCAGAAAGCATCTTTTGTTTTTTTATGGTGTGAAGACCAGAAGGACATTGAAGACAGATCTGTGGATCTGAGAGTACCAAGTTGATGACTAAAGAAATCACTCTATGCTGACTGCTAAAGGTGCAGGGACTCCTGGTAGTGGAGTCCCTGCACCTTTAGCAGTCAGCATATATTTTATTTTATTAAGAAATTTCCCATTTTGAATTGAATGGACTCTTATTTTTCCCTCCTTCTCTCCAGGATGAGAACGCAGTCAGCTTCTTACCTTGAAGAAGGTCATTGTTGATCCATCTCTGACCGCCCCATATTCTATCTTGGTTTGCTTTGCCAGATCGTCTGCTGAATCTATGGGGGATTCCATTCTCTCTACTGTCAAGAAGGCAGCCAGGTTGGCAGTGTAGGACGAAATGATGATTAGGGTGAAAAACCACCAAATTCCTCCAACTATTCTGGTCGATAGAGCTTTGGGCATCAGCTCTGATCCTGTGGTGTTATCATCAGAGTAAAAGTGTTAAATAGAGAGAGAAGAAAAGGGAAGACTAACAGTTGGACTCTATTCTAGGGTGATAAGCCAGTCAAGGACTCTCTATCATGTATGTAGACACAATAAATACTTTTTTTTAAAGAAATGGAGCAAAATATAAATGATCTTTTTTTAAAAAAATCAGTAGTCATCACTTTTGCTGAAAATATCATTTATCAACAGCTGATGGTATTAAAATGGCTGTAACCCTGAGATGGTCCTTGTCTAAAATTTAGTTTAGCTGCTTAAAATTGAAACATTAATCCTAAGACGTCTGTCCCTTTATTCTTGTCTAAAATACATCCTATAGTGTGAATTAAAATGTTCTAGGACTTTTTATAACTATGAAAAAAATTAAAATGCTAACATGTTTATTTAAGTTTAAAGAATATAAAAAACTTTCAAAAATTAACATATTATGTCATTTATCACATGTCATTTACAATGAAATTTTTCAATAAAATGAATTAAGATGCAGTCACATGATGGTGAATGAATTAATTTACTAGTTTTATGTTACTTTTAAAGTCACAATTATGTTTTTCTAATGTAGAGTCATATGTTTGGTAAAAAAGAATGTATTCTTTGAAAAATCTAATTCTGTCCTTTAAAAAGTGCTATTTCTTAAGGGCAATTTAAAAACTGGCTGTTTCTCAGCTGGAGAGAGGACGCTTCTTAGTAAGAATATACATTTTGGGTATCATTCAGATGATTAATTATTTTTGAGGGGTGCCAGGGATTGAACTCAGGGGCACTCAACCACTGAGCCACATCCCCAGCCCTATTTTTTATTTTATTTAGAGACAGGGTCTCTGTGAGTTGCTTAGCACCTTGCTATTGTTGAGGCTGGGTTTGAACTCGCGATTCTCTAGTCTCAGCCTCCAGAGCCACTGGGATTACAGACATGTGCCACAGAGCTTGGCTCAGATGATTACATTTTAAAGATAGCATAGAAGAACTTATTATGTTTACCAAGAAAACTTTCTTTTCTGAAAGAAAGGATATCGGCTAAGTTTACATAAAAGGCAGACATCTTAGACATGGTCTGGTTCAATTTTGACCTAATTGAATTGTGGATGTCTACAAACGCAGCAGCAGAATCAGAAGGGCCCAATTTGAACTCAAATTCATGAATGCATTTTGTCTAGTCCATTTGCCTAGAATTGACCCTTGGTCCTATACTTAGCATTTCCTCTGGGAATCTGAGAACACAAGAGTTTGTGTCAATAGTCAAAAACCCTCTGAGTGGGAAACTCTAGAGGACAAAGTAGAGTAGGTCCAATATCTTGTTTAAAGGATCCTTTCTCTATCTATACCGATTTGGTGTCTTGAAATTTTGTTGTTAATAATGGCTTTAGATAGAAGGGGAAATTGGAGTTTTCCAATCTACAAATAAATGATTTTATGCTCAGGTTTAATCTATAAACAGACACACACATTGCTCACGAAGTCAAAGCCAGCTCAAGGCTGGCGATAAGCAGATGAAGGTTGGCAGAGATTCTGGGCTTTGAATAAACAGATCTATTCTCCTAATGCTATTAGGGATCTTTGTGCTTTACTCCCTCTTAATGAGAAAAGTGGTTGGACTGCAGTTTGCATTTCCTTCTCTTGTTTGTTTAAATTTGGGTGCATAATATTACATAAATTTATAATAGTTTCCATTAAATTGCCTCCAAGGATTTAGTGAAATAATTTGTTGTTGTTGTTTTAATCTTGTGGTTAAATGGGATTTATATGCCTGTGGGTGTATGTGTTTAAAGCCCAAGGTTACTTCATATCTTTGTACTTAATTGATCTAGCAGCCTTGTAGCAATGTGATATTATTTTAGATCTTTAGTTGGTTATCATTAAAGTACCATTTACTTCATAAAATAGCCACAGGAAATAAAAAACACAGCTAATATATGTATTTTTTCTTAGTTTATAGGTGCAGATTTTCTACTGTTAATTTATCTGTATGTTATTTGGTTACATTCATGAAAAGATTAGCTTTTAACACATTTGCACGTTTGTATATTGTACGACAGTAAATCTGGGCAGATTAATAACCAACTGTCGACATGTAAAATATATATTCATATTGCACACTTTAAAATAAATATGTGTTTTTGGACGAAATTCTCTTAAAAATTAAAAAAGTACATACTATAGAATCCTACTGAAATTACATTTTAAACTATCCGCAGATGTTATCACCTCAATCCCTCGATATTTTTTGTGTTTTAAAAAAAATTCACGTTTTGTGAACTTTGTGACTCTCAATGTTAACTGGCATATTTAGAAATGGCTTCCCTGAAGAAGAGATGATTTATGTGAATTCAGAACTCTACAGGATGAAGTTATGAAAACAATAAAAGTAGAGCAAAACACCATTGGCAAACATTCGGGATGAGAGACAATACTTGCTGAGGTCTCTTTAGTGCCATTTACGGCAGACATGACAGCCAATCCTGATCCAGACTTTGCTCACGCTCTGTAGAAAAGAGAAAGTCTGATCATCACATTCAGAAAGAAATTAAACAAAATGGTTTCCAATCGAGTACAGTGACAAAGCTTCTGCAAACAAGAGAGAGCACCACAGAGCAGAGCTACCTGGTCCAACGCCACATGCCAAGGACAGATACACTAACAGTCACGAGTACCCCGAGTTTGAGCATGGAAACAGTTTGTTGCACCTGAGAAAGGTTGGTAAACTTCTGAAAGACAAGCAGAGTCTGGTTGGGGCTGACTGTCATGTACCCAAGGTAGTGGTAACTAGCAGACACTGCATCCCACAGTTTGCTGTGGATGATGGTAAACTCCAAACAGGTAGAATGTGAAAGTGAAGTTCTGGGGGTGGGCACACTCACAGGACAGAACGTGGTCACTGCCATATGTCTGCACAGCCTGCTGCATGCTCTGTGAAACCTAAGTGCATTTTTTTTTTATTCTAATGGCTGAAGAAGGTGAACTTTAGGGGAGGGGAGGAGGTCTCCTTCACTTTGAAAGTAATTGCTTACAAGATAAATACCCTAAAAAATTAAATGCACTGGTAAAGCAAGATATAGCTTCTAATGGGGTTTGTTGCAGGATTTATAGCTCTGTGCTGTGCTCTAAATTCATGCCAGTGGTTTCTAGTAAATCAGGTAGTGTCGGTACCTATTTAGCAGTGCCCACATAAACTATGCATAATTGCATAAAGAGAGGATCTACCTGTTTTTTTTTTCAGTTATTTTGTATTTCTGAATAATTACCATTGGCTCTTAAGCTCTGTCTCTGTCTCATTTGGAGATACAGAATATAAGCATTTCAGGTGGTAAGATAACAACTCCCTAATGAGAAACCTTAGGTTCACATTTCAAATAACAAACACAATTTAATGGTATATCCCAGTTGGATTTTCCTTTGCCAATTTATTTTGTAGCTTATTGTCAAATGAACAGATATTTCAAACACAATAATATCTGTGACTTATGATTTTCTTAAATTGATGTATTTAATCTTTGAAGTATTTTCTAGACCCGATGCATGGAATCAAAGTTGAAGAAAACCCACAAGAGATGGATTTCTTCCAAAGGTTAATACAACTCACCCCTCCCCCTGCAACAAAGCCAAAATATCCTAAATCATAGAAAATGGATAAGATGCACTACATTTCTCTAGTTTGATTTTTATTTCTTCAACCCCTACAGTTTACTGTTGCTAAGGTTACCAGTGAGGGAGATTGTGACAAGTTCCTGGGAGGCTAAGATGAATCTCAGTAGGGTTTGTCAGAGTGGTAATTAGGTGAAAGTTCTAGGTATGGTGAGCAATTGGAGGAATCTAAGTGAACTTAATCTTCAAACCATTTAAATTTCATTCCTTTCAAACCTCTGACTTGTGGAGTTATGGCTGAAAAGGAAAAGATTGACACCTCCATCTATGCAAATTTGTATACAATTTCTAAGGTACTTTATCCTTTGCTACCCACAGGAAAATGAGTATTCATCGCCTGATAGAAGTCTTATTTTAGATATATAGCAAGGGAGTTCCATTAAGGTCATATTTTTGCCGTTTTCTTTGCCTTCAGAACTAGTTAGAATGTCAGTGGCTATTATTTGAAATTCCTGAGATGACGCTTCAGCCTACCCTCTAGCTTCATGGTGGAGTTTACCAGCACGAAAGCCTGTCAGCAGACTGTGGGATGCGAGTGACAGAGAAGGGCAACCGGTGTACCTTGCTGCATGAGAGCTCCAACTCCAAACCAGAAACTATTTAGTAAAGTAAAATTGTTTTCCACCACGTCTGAGTCGGGGTTGCAGGGGTGGGGGTTGTACCACTCGTAGGGTGTAAACCTGTGGTGTCAACAGAAACAGTCTGTCAATATCAGATAGATACACGGGGTACCCGCACAACCTGCTGAGCAATGCAGAAAACCCAACAGTTAATGATAAAAGAACAAACCAGAAGACCAAAGGCCACGTTCAAAAACTTACTGCTTTGATGAGCAAAGTGCGAGAGCCTTGGGTTAGTGTTTACCAACCTTCTTATTCCTAAGTAAATCCCACCGGTCAGCGGGAATCACATTCTTCAGATCTAGGTCTACTGAATTCTTCTGAGTTTCCATTAAATTTCCATTTTACTGAAAGACTAGGTCAACTGTAAAGAAAACTTCCCTCATCCCAAGTATTTACCCCACCAAGGAGTGATGACTGTGACACACACTTGTGGCATAGCAACTACACTGTCAAGATTCTGTGTTGCTAGGTCCTGTGGGAGACAAAAAAGAAGGGTGACATGCCTTTGAGGGACTTCTATGGACAGGTGCTTAGAAGGAGTCGGAGTTGTCTAGTGATTTTGCAAAGCATCAAAGAGGTAACATGTCTGAAAAAAAAATTCCTGAATAAAAATGGGGGATTGGATTTGGGACCTATTAGATATTTTTAGTATAATATATGGAAAACATTGGGATCCTTCAACGAATAGGCAAGGTTAACTTTGGAAGTTATCAAAGTCCAGGCATAGAGGTACATTAGTATTAACTCCATAGTGTGGGTTGTTGGAGAATTTTAAGTTCATAATTTCCTCTTGGTTCATTTTTAATTTGATTGTTTTTAAAACTATGTCCTACGGTCAGTTAATCACCAACCCTAGTTAGGTAAGAAGTTTCTATACCATAGTCATAGATCTGCCTGCAGAGCCACAAGCAACACAGGTTCCTGGTAAAACAACTATAGTGTAGGGAGTCAACCTGAGCAAATTAACTCAAGCAGTTTGACTCCAGTCTCTTTATTAGTAAAGAGGAGGGAATCCAGATATCTCTGAGGATGTATTTAAAGTAAAAGTCTGGAGATATGTCAGTTGCAGGAAAATGGATGGAATTTGAAACCATTATGTTAAGCACAATTGGCCAAATTCAGGAGGTCAAGGATTGTATTTTCTCTCATGGGAAACTAGAGATGACAAAGGAAAAGTATGTAAGTGGTGGAGGGATCTCATGCAAATTGAAGGGAAGTCTGTAGAATAGAGGAAAGGGATTTGGGGGAGGGCGGGGTGGAAGGAAAGGGAGAAACCTGGGAATGATATTGGCCAAATTACATATATTGGTATATTGTGTGCATGTATGAATATGTAATGACAAATCTCACCACTATGTGCAACTATAATGCATGGATTAAAAAATGTGGGAAATATCTGGGGAATTGCATCCATTTTGTTTCCTTTTCTACATGTCTATCTGACCTCTATAACTCAGAAGAGGTGTTCCCTCTGTGGTTGTTTTTCAGGGCTACTTTGCTAAAAGGTGCTTATTTTTCCAAAGAGATATCACCAGATGCTCAGCAAAGTGATCTGGGAATGATTTAAAAATGCAATAATTCTTAGCACTGGAAGCTTTGCCATTTGCCATTGGGTTTTTTTAATGCAAGCAAGAGTATCAGAGTAATGTTAAAGCACCATAAAGCCGATGAGAACATACGGAATTCTCTCCAGCCATAAGGTTTCAGCAGTAAACAGTATCAGGCTGCTGACACATTGGGGAGAACAGGGCGTAAGGTGAATATATAATCTACAGTGCAAAGCAGAGCACACTGTGAATCATGCACAAGGAACTGGGTGGATAGTTTCTCTTAATGAAAAAACCATTATCTAACCCCTTGGACACCTTCTAGAAGGTGTACAGTGACTCTTCATCAAGTCTTGGGGAACGGGGATAACAGCCTGGTAGTTTATCCCACCATAATGGTATCCAACTCATCCTGCAGCTTTTCCACAGCTGCAGGGTGCACCGTGCAGATTCCCATGAAGCTTATGAATATTGCTGTAATTGACAATGCCATGCCAATACATTTTAATTACTGTTTCAACAATATAATTAAGTTTCGAATTTATACACTCTTATAACCATAGTAGTTTGCTGAGCTGAAGGAATGAATACCAATATTAATGAACCTCCTAATTGAAACAGCATGCAGAATAAAGATGCTGTTACTTAAACAATATCATTGTCACTTGTACAATAATTTAAAAATATTAATTGCGATGAATTAGGAGGCTTATACTTTCAAGAGAAGGGGTTTTTCAAATAGACCATAGAATGTGGCAACTGCCAGCCCCCTAATATTCTAGCATTTTTCCTCCCAGAACTGCTATGATCCATGAGCTTATCTCTTGGAATATTGCTCCAAATTTGCTCTTATTTCAATATTTCATACTTTGCACTTATAAGTGAGGAACTAATTAAGTTTTTTTTTTTTTTGGCCAAAAGGAGAAACCATCTAAATAGTAATGTGATTCTACCTGCACTGCAGAGATATTGTAGATTCTTTCTGGGATTCTGAGTGATTTGGGGAGTATGTGGACTGAGGATTGTTAAATGATAACATGAAGCTCTGCTGTAAGACAGCATTGTTTTTTTTTTGTTTGTTTGTTTTAATAATGCAGTAGATCTACCTATGTCTGGATGTAGATATCTCAGTTTGGAATTCCTAATGCCTGCTTAACTATAGCTAGTGTGACATCATGCCAGTGGCAGAAGCTCTGGGGTAAGAACTAATATATGACCTGCACCAATGATAATCTGAAACTGCTATTCCCAAATGACTTTCAAAAAATCAGCAAATGATGTTCTCTAAAAGGACAGAGAAAGGGAAAAATATGCTTAGAATCAGTGTGAAAACTGGCATGTAGAAAAGAAGTCTGATGTTGAAATGTGAAAGTACACTTCAGGTTTATGTTTATATATGTAAAGCTTATATTTGAATGGAAGACATAAAATAACCCTCATCGTGAAGTTTTCTGATTAAAGGACTATCTCTTTATGGCTGAGAATGGACATTGGGCTGCATTGAAAAGAGGGAGATCCATTCATCATTTAAAGAAAAAAGCTCTATTTGAAGTTGTAACATAAATGTTAGGGATATAGTGTAACCTTAGAATTTACTTTCAAGGGTTTCTCTTTCTTCAATTATCTTTAATTTTTTACCAAATGTAAACTTTAAAGAAGTTAATTTTTATGAAGGCAATCATAAGTCATAAAATAAAAGCAGACATTTTATCTGTACTTGGGTCTATTTAAATTGTGTTTTCACTAGAGGCTTAATTGCTTGGGGTTAAATATTTTTTGAAAAGTAAAAAGAAAAAAATGTCAACCACAAAACAAAAACATGAGATTTGCTTTTGTTATAAATGATAGTAATTGAAATTGTTACATTTACCCCCTTAGTTTTTTTCCACTGATGTCTGCAATTATATTAACTCAGCTCAGCAAATGAATTTTAAGCATCTATCCAATGAAGGATTGGTTTAAATGCAGTGATGGGCTTTCTGTGTCCCCTTTAAAAGAATATAAAAGGATATACTTCACAACAAAAATTCAAAAAGCTCTCAAGGGCTGAAGATGATTATGAGATGAACTCCTTTTCATTTCCACTTCACTGACATTGAATGCAAACCATTAAGATGCTGACCAAAATCATTTTACTTCTTAGCTTTTCAGAGCAGAGTGACTGAGTTCATGGTCTTGTACTATAAGGCTGGCAGGTAATGGTAAATTGGCACACCTCCTATTCAACTGGATTCTGCTTGGAGAATCTCCTGTGAAATGTAGTTAGTGGTTGTATAAAATAGGAGCAGGGATAGACTTAAAAGTGTAGGGCAGATGGAGTTGAAAGGATAGTTTCCATGACAATTCACTTGTGCACAGCAGGGAATTATTTTCTTTATTTTTATATCTCACCACTGTTCTATTTGAAGTTTGCATGTGATACTTAAGAGCTTCACTTCCCCAAGAACCAGAGCAAGAGAAAGGGGAGTCCAGGAAAATAAGCAAAAAGAGAAAGGGCTGGTGTAGAAATGGTACTGTCAACAAGTAGGAATATTAAGTGGATGGCACTGATAGAATCTGGAGGCTGCTATCATAATAGAAATAGGATGTCTGGGGGCTGGGCTTATGGCTCAGTGGTAGAGTGCTTGCCTAGCATGTGTGAGGCACTGGGTCCAATTCTCAGAACCCTAGATAAATGAATAAAATAAAAGACCCATTGACAACTATAAAATCTTTCCCAGTTGAGAACCCCAGATGTAGAATACTAAAGTATCAAAAGATACTATTCGTACAAATAGTGTTTACTATATTATTAGAGGCAAGGTATATGGTAAAAGAGCTTTGGTTCTTTTAAAAGTACAACATCTGAGATTTGCTAATGGTACACACATTTTAAGGTATAGAAAGCTTCAAATCTTTTCATTTCATGTCGAATGCATAAATGTCTACGTGAAACACATATTTATTCAGTGTCACTATGTCGGCCTTGTAGATCTTTCAGACTTTTCCAGGCTGGGTTATTTTTCCAAGCTTTCTCTATAATTGCACCAGGAAAAGAATTACCTGGCATTAATCAAAACCAGACAGTGAACAATGACAAAGGGCTAGTATGAAGAAATATTTCTCTTAGAAATTCCTGGAGGGAAAATAAAAATTGATTAGGGACAAAGTTCACTGCATTTTGTTGAAAGGTGAAGAAGATTGAAAACAAGCAGATGATACACAAGAGCAACTTTTTTTTTTAAACTTGACTTATCCAGGAATATCCAATATTTAAGCCAACCGAAAGATAAAATAGATGTTTCAAATTGAACATCAAAGGTATGTATAAAATATGTGATCTACTGAGAGGTAAAAAATCCTTTGAAGAATTGTGTAGAGCAGAATGGTTAAAGATAGAGTTAAATATCAAAAATAAAACCCAACCAAAGCATCCTAGGGTAACAAAAATTCCATGCCTCCTCACCTTACCTGGAAGTGATATTTCTTGTGGTGTAATTTCTAGAATTCTCTTCTTCTCTATTGAATGTTTTAAAAATTAATTTCCACAGAATGTTCAAAACATTTTTTTCTTTATTCTGAAGGATTTTGCAATCTTTCATTCTCGAGCTTCTTAGTTTCTATAATTCTAGCTTTTTCCCTGTTTTCCTTATTTATGTATTCTAAACGTCTTGATATTACTTTTTATTATTCTTATTGAAACGTTTTAGATATTTTAGTTGAGATTTTGCTCTTGTTATACTAAAGCTCAGGGAAAATGGATAAATAATCATTTTATATGGCTTCAAATACTAAAAAATATTAAGTATATGAAATGTCTTTTTACTCTCTTTTGAAAATATCTTTATGAATAATTATACATTATTCATTTAAGCATGGCTTTTATCTAGAGACCTTGAGAGAATAGAACACTAAGCAAAACTAAAAGTACTCATAAAGAATTTAAAATTTTTGTCTACCTCTAAAGCATACAGGTAAATCTGAGACTGACCTAATCCTGTTATTGTGAATTCAGTCTTCTCAAACCTACCTTGCAATTACAAAGAGTACACAACTGACTCCCAAGCAGGCTAAGAGCACATACATCCAAATATCTGGAGACAGAGGATTGAGAAAGGAGAAGACGCCCGGATTGGTCCCATTGGGCTTCCGGTAGAGAATGCTGATGCCCAGGGTCATGAAGGGCTTAGAGAAGTCAATGACTTTCTCTCGCACATAAGTGATGGTCAGAGGAGCCACTGCCAGGTCAGCCTTCTGCAAAAAGCAAGTGCAAAACTTGTCAGCTTAATTGTCTCACTTCTCTGTAAATGTCTACTCTTTTTTTCTGGGTATTCCTGATCCCTATTCTCAACTCCAAATGCTTCTCATGCAAGAAATTTCTGTGATGGGACAACTGGCTTCAATATAAAAGCAGACAATTTATGCAGTTATATTTATAAAACAGGATTTATGAGCAAAGAAAAACCAGAAGGAATAAAGCACCCACACAAACAAATAGACATCGTTCTTGAACTAAATGGAGGAAAACAATGTAGAAGGATATCTTTTAAAAGGGCATGTGAGAACAGGAAGAAATGGGCAGCTTGCTCATAATATTAGTTGACAAGATGAAATTTTGCTCTGAGCCTAAATCTTCAAATTCTTTTATCTAGCTTAAGAATCACTCAAGCTTATTTGGTATGAAGGATGGACTCATAAATTTTGATCTTCAATTTTTATCCTTACTTGCCCTTCCAAGTAAGCAAGTCTTGCTATAGAGATTGTTTCTCCTACCTTTTAAAAAAAATAATTTTCATAATTTAAACAAAGAAAACATTTCTTCTGACTCAACCATTTTTTTTCTTGTACTTTCTCCTAGAGTGTGTTTTTTGAGACATGTGAGATATATTTTTGCTTACGTGATCTATGAGTTCTTTAACCATCCCATTCCACTCTCCTTTGTCATTCTGGGCTCCGTATTTGCCATCGGCAACTAGTTTAACATCGTAAAGGAAACCCAGGATGTTTGACAATTCTTTCAACAGATCCAGGCAATATCCTTCAAATCTGTCATTTCCATACAGGGGTTTGTCAGATTTCCTGTACATCACATAGGGCTCTTCCTAAAGGAAACAAACCAAATATAAAACCTCCATTATCACAAAAGGAAGAATTGCTTCATAAGCATCCTGAAGATATGCAATGTTTGAAGATGATTTTTTCCCTTGTTTTAGAAAAACTTTGTTGAGATATAAGATATACCATAAAATATATCCCTTTGAAGTATAGAGATTGGCAGTTTTTGGTACATTTGTATAGTCATACAAATATCATCATTATCTAATTTCAGAACATTTCACTAGCACCCCGACAAATCCAGATCCATTAACAATTGCCACCATTCTCATTCCTTCCTCTCCGCAGTCCTTGGAGACCACTATGAAGATGATTTTTAAGAGTTAAACGCACTGACATCAGTCACTTACTTTCCTGTATTTGCTAAATTTGTTCCCCCTATGCCCTCTGCAAATATAGAACACTTCGTAATTTTCTTTTTCTCCTGCCTCTTTGGATAGGAACTTTTTCTTCCAGTGGTGAGGCAGTTATTGTGAGTTGGTGTGACAGAGACACAGTTGTACTTAAATTTGGACTCTGGAAAATGGAAAAGCTCAGAGGGGATGGGGAGCCCAGATGCCTCTGATGTGTCACATCCAGACTTTTTTGGCATGACCTCCTCCCCTTGACTTTGACCCAAGAGGCTCATCTACTTATGATCGAGAAATCAAAATCACCAAATACATCCTCTCGTTTTTAAAATTTCTTGTCTGCTAAATATTCTTGTTTTCTCTTCTACATATCATCTCAACTTCACTATTACTTACTTTTTACATATTTTGGTTGGCTCTTTCCATGTCTTCTTTTATCATCAGTTCCATAGCCTTGTTTGAAAGCAACTCAGATCTCAGATTTGGTAATTCTTTGCTCATGTGCTCACTTGGAACTCCCCTGTCCTATGAATAATGGCCATTTCCTTCCTACTATGCATCTACAAACTTATTAATTCCTCTTTGACTAAATGACAGTTCATTTTGTTCTAAAAGTTGTACTATCAATAAACCTGTAGGTCATGCAAATATAACAGAAAGCCTTATGTTTCTACAGGCCCGTTGCAAGGACATTAGTGATCAGAAGAGTAAAACCTTGGATGAACTTAGGATGAATCTTTCTTACAAGTTACCTATCACAAAAATAAATAGCTCCAATCTCATGGGCTGAATGAAATAAGGCAGGCATACCAGTAAGTGATGAGTTCAGAGAGGGCTACTCATGTCCAAACCCCTTGAAAAGGAAAAAGGAGGTGAAGAAATAACCAGCAGGGGCATGGTGGACTGAATGGGGGCGCTGGCAGTGTTCCAACAGACTGCAGGACATGGAAGAACACTGACGAAGGGGCTGCTTACAGAGGTGTTAACAGAGAAAGGGAGCCAAGGCAGGTAGGGGTCAGACTGGGGGCATTCTCCACCGTACCAGGAAACCAGTAAGGGACAGAACTGAGACAAGGAGAAGGGGAAGAGTGCTCCTGGAGCCTACAGCCAGGAGAGCTGGAGTCTGGATGCAGGGTCATTGACAGACAGTACAGGAGCTATGGCTATGGAAGGAAAGACTTTTTGACAAAACCACTGGTTGACTGTAGGAAGGGATCAGGGGAGGAAATTCCTCCACCTTTCTCCTCCCACTTCCTTGGTCTCTTAGTAGAGTCTCCTCTTGTTTGAAACTAGTGAACCAATCAGCATCCAGAGAGCAAAAAGGACCAGTTAGGTGGCATTGAGAGGGAGGCAGAGCAGGGCTCAGAACAAATTGAGGTGAGGGCTCTTCAGATAGATGTTGGAGCTTCTAGTTCAGTATAACTACGTACAAGCACATGCTTTTAGTGCCCCAGATGCAAAACAGACAGGTGCACACAGAATTTCTGGTGTGAAAATGATAGCTGAGGGCTGGGGCAGTAGCTCAGTGGCAGAGCACTTGTGAGGCACACTGGGTTTGATCCTTAGCGCCACATAAAAATGAAACAAATAAAACAAAGACATTCTGTCCATCTACTACTACTACTACAAACAAACAAATAAACAAACAAACAAATAAATCAAAAAATGATATCTGAAAACTCTGTCAAGGTCTAGGGTAGGAGTTGAGATTAGATGCCCCAAATTTCACAGAGACGACTTACCAGAATGGTGGTGACAATGAGAGTTCGGTTGGCCAGTGAATCCGTGATATTGTTGGACCTGTCTTTGTTGCCATCTGTCATGTTGAGCCCACTGTTGGAGTTCCAAATCCCAATCTACACAAGACACAGTACATCAGAGGCTGCCGGCTCTCCAAGTCAGCATTTACACTGAGAGGCCCCTTCTATACCAGGAATGGGCACAAAAACTTACAGTCGGGGACACCAGGCATCACAGTGGAAGCTACTCAAGGTGGGAAAACGAAACAATGGAAGAGTGAGGGTGTAGACAGAATGGGAGGGATCTTTGCTATTAGGGACAGAATTGGGAGAGGTCTTCTTGTTGTGGTTGTTTGTTTTTAATTTATTAAGCTGACTGTTCTTTAAAAAAATCTAACAATTCTTCAATAACTCTCAGATTTGTCTTTCAACATACATTTGTTGAGCACCTACCTCTGTGTCACCTAGCCATTGGAAGATAGAGATATAAGAACCGACAACAAGTTCTGCCCTTCTGGAGATGATGTTCTATTGATAAAAACATTACGCTGCCAAAATTGTATCATCAATTCCTTTAAAATTCATAAAGAATGGGGTGGAGGGAGCAGGGTGAATTGTGGGGGGATGGGGCACCAGAATAGAAAAGATAAATGGGAGAAAACATGTGGGTAAGAAGTCAACCAAGTTTTGGGCCTATCACTAAGGAGCCAGTGCCAGGCAGGAGGCATTTCGTGTACACCCCAGTAGGACTCTGCTCACACCTGTCATAACATCTAAGTCTTCTCTTATTATCCATTTGCTTATCTTCTATGCTGGCTTGTCCATGAACTCCTGAAGTGAGGATATGCACTTTTATTGCTCATTGATCTTTCAATCATAGAACCAACCACAGCCACTAGCATTCTGTGGAGCCTATTGCTTTTAAAATATAATGATTTCTGATTTTCTCCAGTGGCCTAGTCACTACTGGGTTATTATGTCCTATAGAAACACAGGTTGAGCATCCCTAGTCCAAAATCTAAAATGTTCTCAAAAGACAAACTCATGGAGCTCTGACATGATAAAAATTCCACCCAGTGGAGAATTCCATACCTGACCTCATGTGATGTGTCTCACTTAGTCCAAGCATGTGCACTAAAACTATTGCAGATGCTTACCTTCAGGCCATGTATAAGGTGTATGTCAAACAAACACGTTTTGTTTTTAGTCTTGGGTCTCATTCCAAGATACTCATTATATGTATGTAAATGTTTCAAAATAAAAATCCATAACCCCCAAACATTTTTTTTGTCCCAAGCACTGCAGATGAGGGATACTCAACCTGTATACTGATTTTCTTAGCTTTTGAGGAAACCTAGAATATGAGCCTTAGGGAATTGAGCTACTTGTCTTGAGTCCTGTAGGCATTTACTGGGAGACTTTTGAGATGAAATACAAGGGTGTTTGAGTGTCAGGCAGAAACAGGCAGTTTCTATGTGACCTTGGACCTGATGCTAACCCTTCTGAGCTTTGTATTTTTTATTATAAATACCGAGAAGATCAAATGAGATGATATATGAGGAAGTGTTGGTGTGTGCATAGAGCTGCACAAATGTTAATAATAAAGGACATTGGAATGACTGTCCCAGGAATTTCTTTAAGCTTGCTTATAAAAGAATAGGGAATTGATAGTGATTTGTTTTTTAATTTATAAGATGATAAAGTAAAGAAGCTATGACAAATAGAGCCAGTTATAGGAAAACTAACATTTGAACATACTCTGGTAGGGTGGGTCTATGCTTGAATTCCACAATAAGAAGACATTGGGCTAGCTTAATAGAGTGAGCTTTGCAGACAGACTTTTGTCCCAATCCTAGCTTTAAAACTAACCAGCCATGTGACCTTGGAGAAAGTTACTTAACCCTTCTGTGCCTCAATTTCCTTACCAGCAGAATATTGATAATAGGGACTTTCTGATGATTAAACAACATATCACATGTGAAAATGTTAGGCACCTTCCATCTTTGCTTTTTTCTAACTTTACTTTGATTTACTGGTCAAATTTTGTGACTGCCTAAATTCATTTGCTTGGCAAGTATTCTTTTTAGAGACAGAAATGTTTTAAGAAAGCTTCAAAGTCTATCAAACATTCACATTTTCATGTACACTATTTCAAATTCACTGTTTTCCCTCCTTCTGTATTTAACTAGGATTATTTCATTGGAGAAATAAAGAAATAGGTAGAAGTAAATGCAGACTTGGAAGCAGATTTTGCACGAAAATATTGTGACACTATCTAAAGAGCGGGTGTTAGAGGTAGAATTGGATGTAGGCCAGCATCATTAGTAACCATTTAGTATTCCTGGGACCTCTGGTGATGCTTGGTGTGGATTAATTCAACATTGCATAAGTGCCTGGAGTCTCCAGGAATGTGCACATGCCTCCGTTGTTTAAAAAATTTTCAGTTTTCCATAGCTAGCCTTAAATCCAGGAAATAGGACATTTTCTTCTCACCCTTTTCCCTTTCTCCTACTTTTTTTGAAGCAGAGACACTTGCTTCTAGGAAGCAACTCAGGCTAACTACATTTGTCTGTTGGCTTTTGTTCAAAGCTTTGTTCTAGGTTGTTAGCAATGAACTTGTAACTCCATGAAGACTGTATGTAAATTGGGTCCTAGGTAGAATTTTGATTAAACCCTGACTTGGGCCCTGATTTTTAATTAAGTAACCATTGAAGGATAGAAACCATATTTTTAAACACTTAGCTAAGTGATAGAGTATGTTCTCTTTAACTCTCATTTTCATTAATGTTGCATGTGTGTGTGTTTAAAGGAAGTATTTTTGAAATATTTAAAAATGGTGATTTTAGGGGTTTTTTGGTCTCATTCCATTCTAAAATAAAACTTGAAATTGTAGACAAATATATGTCACAGCTTAACATCTGGCTTTTGCTGTTTTTAACATCCCCAGTAAAAGTGCAGAAGGTAAGAGATTATTGCTGCTGCCTTTTCAATCAACTAAGTCCCAGAGTCCCAATAGTGCAAATTTTCCATAAAATGAGAGAAAGGAGAAACTATTTTTTTGCTAGTAGCTGTATAACAGAAGAGCTTTTAAATGTAAATGAAAAGAGTTGCAAAATATAGTAAAGGTCAGGCTATTCTGGGGAAGTAAACAATATTCATATGCAATTTGCATGATCTCAGCCTTCTGTTTTTAAATCCTTCAATCAGCAAAACCCGAGAGCACGGGTGTGTTTGTCTCTGTGTGCACACGTGTATGCAGGCATGCTTGTGTCATTTAAACTTAAGTTGTCAACTGACTTTGCCTGCTAATTGAAATGAACAGGTGGTCAGCGAGTGAATATCTCTGAAGATGTGAGATCCCGTGATGCGCGGGTGTGGGGAGTATGGTTACCCAGATGCCTAGATACTGGCATCTAGTTCTTGTGCTATGACCTTGGAGGAGGGCCTCCAGGAATTGGAATCTCAATTTTCAAACTGTATAACCAAAGCAAACAGCAGTAATGTACCAGTGAGAATCAGCGGAGGGTGGATCAATTATGGCTAAATTGTGGGGAGGCACATTCAAAGGCTAAATTGTCTGGCTTGCCTTCTCTCTGTACAAGCTGGCAAGAGGCTGCAGCCATTTGTTATCCTGGAAGCTTTGAAAAGGAATGCTCCGAGGACACTTAGCAAACTCTAAAAAAAAGTGGCATGACCAAAGGGCATTCAGAATCACTAGTATCTATATTTTCTACACCTAGGAGGGATTTGCATAAATGCCAAATCTAAAATTTCTGAGTGAAATGATCAAGTATTTACCAATGACAAACATGAAATGCATCTGCTTTTTTTTTTTTTTTGGTGCAATACTGAGATGGGGGCTCTACCACTGAGATGGGGGCTCTACCATCTACTACTAAGCTATACCTAAGTTTCCCTTATTTTCGTTTTTGAGACAGGGTCTCCTCAAGTTGCCCAAGCTGGTCTTGAACTTGTGATCCTTTCTCTTCTGCCTCTTGAGTGGCTAGGATCATAGGCTTGTGCCACTGTGCCCAGCTATTCCACATTCCTCCTTTAGAAAGAATTTCAGGTGAACTATTCCAAGATGGGAGTGCCAGAATAGCTTTTGGAATTTAAATATGATGGCTGCAAATCCTTGTCTTTTCAGATAGCGTCTTCTTGGCAGAGTACAGAATGTCTGAAAGAGTCCCTCTGCTAGAGTCCTGGATATTGTGAATTGCTGAAAAACAGTCATAACACAAAACAGCACACCACAGCATAGACAGCTGATGGGGTGGGCAATGAGGGGGCATTGGGAAGGATGAAGACTACTATGGGTGTGGATGAGCAAGGTCAAGAGGTTACATCCCTGGGATGTGGCATGGATATTGCAGTTTAGTGGCAAAAAGAGGACATTCCCCGTCCCCAGTGCACAATTGCAGAGCTTGGATTCCATTCCCTAGGGTACTTGGTGGGGATTAATTCAACATTGCATAAGTGCCTGGAGTCTCCAGCTGGATTAGTATAATCAGTTGCTTTCTGGGTGTAAGTTAGGGTCATCTGTTCACTAGCAAGGAGGAAACTAGTTCAACTTCTCTATGCCTTTAGTAGTCTGGTTCATTGAAGATTAGAACAAAGTCATTAAATGCATGCTTTTTAAAACTTAAAAGGAGGAAACTTTCAAGCTGAATACTATCTGCTGAATACTAACAGGAGAGAGAAAAGTTTTTGGCTACAGGGAGAAACTGCTTATGCTTTCTGTGACTCAGCTGATAATTTGAAAGATGAAAGTGAACCTGACAAACTGTTTAAGTTGAATAACTTGAAGTCATTTAAGATCCATCTATCAGTCAACATATTTTCAGCAAGTAGTTTTAAGGAAACAGGTGTAAGGGAGGAGAAAGAAGGAAAGACAGTGCAGTGCTTGCCTAGCCCCGGGATGTTTTTCCATTCTGAATGTTTTTAATGGCTAACATTTGCTTATATAAATCTAAGCACATTCACTGGCAGCATGATACTGTACCATAAACTACGAAGTAGTAGGTATTATTATTTATAAGATAATCTCATTTCCTTTCCAAAGTTTATAATGCTTTTGTCCTCTGGAAACTAGTTCTAAAATAAATTGCAAGACAATATGCCATGACATAGATATCTTGCAAAACAAAGCTCGTTCTACGAATGAGGAATTTCTGAAAATGGCTCATATTTTGTGGTGATGACATTCAAGGAGATGTCCCAGCCTTCTGAGGATGGAGCCTATCTAACCAGTCAAGATGGATCTAATCTATAGTTGTTTTTATTCCCTTTAGGGGAAATATTTAGTGATATGAGAAGGAGAATATAAATGGGCCAATGTTTGCTTCAGTTGAAGCTACCTGTTTTCTATCCTAACAGCTGCAAATCCTGCCTGGGAGGAACAGAAATAATCTAGGGAAAGTTATTTAGCCCTTCATTATTTAATCCATCACAAGTCAGTCTTAGCTTATGAATAATGTTGGACAAGAATATATTCAATCACCCCCTTCTCCCTTTATATAGAATATCACCTCTAAACTGCAATGGAAAGCTACTAGTCTGGCACAAGTGGAAGGGTGCAGGTTTTTCCATGGGTGTTCCCCACCCCACCCCAGGTTTCCTACAGTTTTTATCAGAGTACAAACCTTCTTCCACACTTTAAACAAGTGCTTAGACACTTCGCCAGCAGCCTTGGTTTACAGAGGAAAAAAATAAAAATAGCACTGAATTAAAATGGAGCATAGAACCCAAAAGGAACTTGGCGTACAAATGTTAAGTGTTCACATTCTCCACCTGTCGTTTGGAATTTTGCATCTTAATTCAATATTAAGCCTGATAATGGGTACAGTAATGAGAGGAATCAAAACTTGGGTTTTCCAGAAGTCACTGTGTGGTAAGACTCAATTTTTACTTTTCATTTCACATGCAAAAAAAAAAAAAAAAAAGACAACTTAAAGCACTTTTAAAAATATACACAATTATCTATGCTGCAGCGTTAGCGTATCTCCCTTGTTTAAAAAAGATTTGCTGAAGGTATTTGTAATTAAATTAGTGGGTCACACATGTATACACACACACACACACACACACACACACACACACACACACTATTCCTAAGCTACACAAGAGAGCATACTTTGAGATTTATTCTTTGGCTATGGGTTTCCAGACAGCAGAAACTTGAGTATAAGTGAGAAATGGGCTTTTTCTAATAATTTTCCTTGTGGACCCTGAGAGAGGCTGACATGGAAAGATTGGTCATGTCCTCCCACCGGCTCCTGAGAGAGATGTGTTGGCTTCCCCCATTGCCTTAAGGGCCAATCAGACTTTGCAGGAATTGAGCCCATGTCACCTGAAGAAAGAAAAGTTATTGCAAACAATGATGAGATAAGAAACAAACAGAAACACTTTCATCTAATTCCATTTTGCCTGTGATGGAAAAACACCAATAGAATGTGCATAATATTGCAGAGTTTAGATAGCTGCGAAGGCATAACAATAGCTCCATCTACTTCATCACCCAGCTGAGCCCAAAAGATGTTTCCTGAACAGCTTTTCTTCCTCCCTTAGTGCTGAACATTTAGAAGAAAGAAGGGGGAAAAAAGAGGGCATGCCTAGAGAAGCAGACATTTTCTTTAAAAAAAAATTATAGGTTTTTAGATCAAAGTGAGTATTCCTTTCTTTTGCTTCCTCCAGCCTGAATCCCACACGTCGTGGTGGAGGCTGGGTGGATGCCCCATGCTACTAAACCAGCAGAGGAGCAGATCAGCATGAAGCAGAAGCCAGAAAGAGGGAGATGGCAGAATTTTTGACATGGGATATGTGCATGTAGACGAGTACACTCAAAACTGGAAACTAATTATTTTCCTCAAATACTTCAACATCAGTGGCAAGCTTCTACTGCATTTAACTGAATTAATGCTAGTTGTAGTAGGGAAGGGTTGTTAGGACCTGCAAAAAATAAAGTTAAAAAAAGTATCTCAGTTAACAACAGCAATAAAGTAGAAATGAAAACACCTCAATAAAAAAAACTAGCCCAACTATTTAAAACTAAGTAAGTAATCTTTTGTTTTCAAGGACACTCTTATACTAAGCACACCATCTTGTTCATGACCATAAAAATGTTATAGAATTCTGATGCTCAGATGATTTTTGTGGTGTTCAAAAATTTTTTTTCTTATGATCCTAAAGGGAAAAATCTTCAAAATTTACATGTTAATTTCAATTTGTAGTCATTGATACATGCAATATGAATAAGTTGATATAATAAAATATACTGTGTAGCCAAATTATACCCCCCAAGATAAGATCTCACTTGACTAGGCTGATCTAAAACTTGAGGTCCTCCTGCCTAACATTCTGAGTAGCTGGGATTACTGGTGTGTGTGTGTGTGTGTGTGTGTGTGTGAAATGGCAGCAAAATGGCAAATAGGCCTTAATTAGAATCAAGTAATTGATAAGAATAATTTTGGTAAAATCCTCTGCCAATTTGGTGTGTGTGTGTGTGTGTGTGTGTGTGTGTGTGTGTGTGTGTTGTGGGGTGGTGTGGGGGAGGGGGCAATGATTACTAGCTGGAATTCTTTTATCATTATTAACTAAATAGTTTACATTTTTGTTACTCTACATACTAAATACAATAAAGCTTTAAATTTTGGGATTTAGAGTTACAACTAAAATAACCTTAAGGTAAGAGTGCAACATTAAAATTATTTTTTTTAGCATTTGTCCTAAAATTAAGAATGCATAGTTAATTTTCATCAGTAAGCATCTTCTATTTTATTCCAACCCTCTGTCACCAATCTTAAAATAGAATGCAGTTAAAATAAATGTCTGAGAAACCCTTGGATGCATTCCATTGATAAGTCATTGACAGCTTCTGACTTCTAAGTCTAGAAACAATCTCTTAAAACCTTTGAGAAATGGGCCAAGTCACTCCTACCCATAGAGTTATATAGATAGTAAGTATGTATACTTGCTATATAAACCAAGCACTGATAAGCATTAACTAGCATTGCTATTAACAGCACATATATGATGCATAAGTATATCAATGTCTGCAGATCAGGGAGAATGATTTAGAACACTGGCTGTGAATGAACATATTCAGAGAAGCACCTTTCATTCCCCCTCTCATCTGCACAATGTAGCAAAAATGCTTGTGCAGTGCTCGTTAGTCATTAATTTATTTAATTCATCAATTTATTTATTTGTTAATGGAGAAGATTACCTTTTCAGTTCCTTCCTCTTTGAGACTAATGATGTCCAGATCAAAATCCTTCCGTAGGCCATCTGTCTTATTGAAAGTGATTCGTCCAGTCAATCCATCCCATCGAGCCTGTAGACAAAAGGCAAGTGGCATTACCACTTAACATAGTGTGATCTTAGGACCATCCAAACTGCAAAGCCTCAAGTTCACTGCAGCATCCAGTCATTCATCTTTGTCACATTGTTGCAAGTTTCGGCATTGGCCCAGTGACAAAAACCAGAAAGTGTCACCATTTTATTGGCACTCACTTATTTTGTCATTCCTAACATCCTAACACCAGTCAAACCTGTAAGGGTGGCAACCTAAATGGGCAGCATGAAAAAAAAAATTACTGCATCACAGTCTGCAGGTGGAGTAAGAAAAGACTTGGAAAGTCATGATATTTCATTTTCCAAGGTCAATTCAAACCCCCTTCCAGCTACTGCCAAGAGAAAGTGCCTCCTCCTGTTTCTCTGTGAAAAAGACATAGACCAACATGCCTTATTCTACGTGCAGGGTGTTTGTGATCTAAATGGCTGTCTAATGTGATTTGGGCATTGTAGTTTCCTATGCGACAGATTTTCACAGACTTGGTGGATTAAAACCCACCTCAAAGAGGAAGGAACTGAAAAGGTAATCTTCTCCATTAACAGAAATTTATTCTCCCGCAGTTCTTGGTGAAATCCGTGTCATCAGAGCCGTCCGTGGCCTCTCTGGAGTCTCTAGGGGATACTGGTCCTTGTCTTTTCCTGCCTTTGGTGGCTGCCAGCCCTGCCTTGTAGTCACATTACTCCAAGTTCCGTCTCTGTGAATTCATTGCTTCCCACTCTTCTGTTTGTATGAAACCCCCCTCTGCTTCTCTAAGGACACCTGTGATTGCATTTAGAGCCCGTGGAAATAATCCAAGATAATCCACTCATCTCAAATCCTTAATTTAATCATATATGCAAAATCTTTTTGTGAGTAAGGGAACAAAGGGATCAAGACTTGGATATCTTTTAAGGGAGACCAACCGCATGCATCAACAACATGTTAGGAATTAAAAATCACAGTTGTCTACCCTTCATAGAACTCACGCTGTAAAATTTTTGGTGGTTACTTCTATTCAATTTAGTTCTCGAAGTACTAGCCAGGGCAATTAGACAGACAAAAGAAATTAAAGGCATAAAAATAGGAAAAGAAGAAATTAAATTATTGCTATTTG